TCTATACTGATCTTTTTTTACAGAAGACAGACAAAGAGTTAAAGAATACTATAATATGGGTTAAAAAAAATTTTATTGAGTGAAACCACAAGTTGTCAATTGACAATGTGGTTTTACATAGTAAGTGTTACTGTAAAATTTTTTTTTTATATTGTGTAACTCAGGGATCTTCAAGCCAATCAAATCAAATATCCACCATGCTATAAAAAAATATTTAAAATATAAGCTTCTACACTTTAGCTTAAGTAAAACCAACTCTCAAATTTTGGCTCTTATTTACTTTTTTGATTAAAGCTAATTAGAATTAATTATTGTTGATTACTTAAATTAGACGTTTTAAACTATATATTTAAAAGGGTCTGTTAGTGTAAAAAAATTTTTTGTTAATATATAACTTTGTAGATAGTAAAAGGCATATGCAGCCAATTAAATTCAAGAATTAGTCTGTAGATCATTCTAGAATGTGATTTCCTAATTCAGTATATTCCTTGACTGTATTATACAAAAATCAATACTTTGTATAATAGTAACTTTGCTAATCCTTATATTTGTGCATTTAATTCAAGATATTTCAAGAACTACTAGGCCAATTTTAATGATCTAACTACTATTTAACTCAGAATAATCTCCTCTACAACTTTATTTAGATCTTGAAGTTATCTTTACTTAATAAATTAAAAAATTACAAAATAACAAATCTAATGTAATACAATTTAATAAAATTATTTATATTAGTAGTCTAAACATTATTATTATACAAAATACCAAAATATGGTTTTTATATATATAAATTTCTTGAAATAATAATGTTATACAATTTTTTTTAATAATTAGATTTGTTAGTATATAAAAATAGGTTATATATTATTGTTATATGAACTTTATTAGTATTATAAAATTTTTATATATAGAAGTTTTACATTATATACAAATTTTTTTATTATATAGCTATAAATTTGTTAGTATATAAAAATAGGTTATATATTATTGTTACATAAACTTTATTAGTATTATAAAATTTTTTATATATTGAGAAAGATTTTACATTACATACAAATTTTCTATTATATAGTTATAGATTTGGTCTAAGTGATTATTAGAAAGAGTTTTGAATATCTGTTCTAGTATTATTTATACAATTATATAATAATTTTAGTATATATAAATATAGTTAACAAATATTAAATTTTTAGTCAAAAATTATATTTTATACTGTTATAATTATGTATTGGACAACAATCAGGTGATTGCAACTGCAAATTTGATCAAAGTTATATCAATATACAAATATAGTCAAACTTTTATAAATGGGTTATATATTAGAATCCCAATACACAAAATTTTAATACACAAAATCCCAGTAACAAAATCTCAATAAACAAAATTCTAACAAATTAAAATTCTAAAAATATTAAAATTAGGATTTTAATTTGTCAGGATTTTGTGTATTGGAATTTTGTTGCCAGGATTTTGTGTATTGAAATTCTGATCTTTTATAAATGCAATATCTCTCTAAATACATGTTTCTGGCCTAGATGTAAGAAATTATTAGTGCTAAATATACATTCTATATTCTGCAAATACATATTTACTCAAAAGATTTTCTATATCATACTAATCTCTTTAAATGCATGTAGCCAATCAGAATTTAGTATTCAAGTTGTGTTATACAAGCCTACAAATCAAATATTAAAAGCTGCAATTTGATTAGCTTTCTCTAATTGCAAACCTCTCTAAATGCATAATTAAAGCTAATCTGTATATATTGCATTTAGAGAGGTTTGACTATAGCAATAACTCTATTAACTAATAAAATTAATATAAATAAAAATGAATTAAAAAGTTCTAGAAAATAGTAAATAAGTATTTATATTCTTAATTTGGGACTTAAAATATTCTTTATACTTATAACTAAAGAATAATCAATATGAATAACACAATTTAAAAAATAGTAAATATTGGTGAATAATATATTTTAAAAAATGATAAATATCAATAATAAAAATTAAGAAGTTTATACAATAGTAAATAAGTATTTTTTAATTTGTAAGCTTGATTTATTATACTATTTTAATTTTAATGATTAATAACAGATACAGGACATATCCTCTTGGTTGTTGTCACATATAAATCAAATAAGTTGACCCACCCAAATTTATATGTAAAATTTGGTAAAAAAAACACTATTCTTTAATTTACTTAAGAAAGTAAATATAAAAAATAATTTTAAATATAGGACTTATATTCTTTAGTATTTGATGATTCTTTAACAAAATTATAGAACTAAATACCAAGTAGTTTTAAAAAGATCTTAAGAAATCTCTATTCCAAATTTATACTTTACTTGGGCTTTTCTACAAGGCTCTATATTTAATTATTGGCTTCTTATTAGGTTACAGAGTATTTTTCACCTCTAGTCTAACTTGAACCATGGGCCTTGACTAGCTTTGTGATAGGTTTGGCAGCTTAGCTGCTTAGCTATGAAGCCAAATCTATAAAGTAATAATTAAAAAATAAGTTATAAGCAAATTTATACTAATTTATTTGTCTAAAATTGCTTTTATTAAAGTTCAAAAAAATAGTATATATTAATAAATACAAAAAAAATTATATATTTATTTTAGAATTATTATTTCTTATACCAATGTTTAAAAATTATTTTATTAAAATTAAAATCATAGTGCTTTAAATAAATCAAGATTTTTATATAAAATAATTTTTTTCAAGCTTACTAAAACACATAACTGGTGTTCAACACCAGTATATGTATGCTGTGTAACATGAAAATCAGTATCAAACCAAAATAATTAAAAATTAAATTTGATTAGTATTAGGTTTAGGGTTAAAGTTTGGAATAGAGCAAAGACATAATTTATACCAAAATTTTGCAAGAATTTTTTTTTTTGTTAGAGCTTTAAAGATAATTTCATAAGCAAAATTTCAAGTTATTAAAGATTTTTTAAAAAACAATCATTTTTTATGTTACACCTGATATTTATGTTACACGACATATAAATAATTTTATTGGATAAAATTGATGTGGTGTTAGCACCGCTGGGTCGTTTTAGTAAACTCATTTTTTTTTATATAATTTAATTAATATAGATTGGATATAATGTTTTTTGTAAGGTTTTTAGGAATTTTGAACATTTTTACTTAGAACCTCGACTATATTTATTTAGTACATTTTTAAGATATATTATATTGGTTATTCTTAGCTACCAACACAAAATAAAAATTTTCTTATTTTTATTATTATTTGATCTAATTAACAGATTTATAAAACAACGTTGCTAAATTAATATAACATTATACGTTTAAGACATACAATATAATAATTATTGTATTTGGTTATACTAATAAAAGTTGTGACTTGATAGTCTGTATTTAAGCTTTCATATTTCCAAACTAAAAGCTAAAATCATAGAATATTTAGGAGTAAAAACACTTATCGTACTTAATTTTATGAAGATTATTACAAAATGAATACCCAATTGCATTTTATATTAACTTTGCATGAAACAAATCATAAACTTTTAAATAATAAGCTAGCTTAAATAATACAAAATATTAAAGGCCGAGAGCAAACTTAAAATTTTTCTCTTTATTTTATTGAAAAGATCCTTTACAACTAATTTTACAGTTTTATATACAGTAATCTAATCTAATATAAAAAAATGAAGCCTGTAAACGTCTAATTTTATTGTATAGTTCAAAAATTTAGAAATAAGTTATACATTTTAAATAATAAATAACTTACAAACACAATACTATTTGATGCTATAAATAAAAAAAAAACCCCAGTATTTTTCTTTATCACAAAACAAAATAACAATTTAGAAAAATAATTTTCTAAAAACACTTATGGCACATTAAAATACAAATAATCATATTTCAACAAAACAATGCCTACTCATTTCCTTCAGTGAATACTTTCGACCGACGATGAGAATGAGATTTTTGGATTTTTTCCTTTTCTTTATCATTTTTTTCTTTTAAAGAATTTGTTAACCTTATCTGTTCAGTGCGTAGTCGATTGACCATACTTTGCAGAATTACTAGTTCAGTCTTTAATCCTTTGTCATTGTGCTTCATACTTTTTGAATTAATATCATATTCATCGTTTTTAAAATAATCGTCTTGACAATCCAAACCGTCAGTATGATCAACATCTGATACTTTTGCTGCCAAACTAGTTAATAGACTTGCATTTATTTGAACGGTTTCAGCTAATGGTTCCGGATTATTGTCTTGCAAACTCGATATCACTTCGGTTATTCCGGCATTTACTGTACGAATGATTTCTACCGCTTCCTCACGCTGAGAATACAAAAGTTCAAAATCACGTTTTAGACGCTGGCATTCTTCTTCGTACACATTTTGACTACATTTTGTCGATTCTAAACTACGACGTTTGAACATAGACATCATTTTGGTTTAATAATTATTGCAAGGAATTTTAATCAAATGAAAAGTAAAATTTTAAAGACGAAAATGAAATTTTCAGTAAATTTATTTTTTCAAAGATGTTAGTTAATGCACTTAAAAGACAAGGATGAAATATCAAGTGGTCAATGCATGCAGGTACAGACGCCGTGCATGTTAAGTGACTCATGCTAATGCAGTACTTGAGAACCATAGGACAATAGGATTTCTTTTATAGGTATTTATTTTGCATAATGATCGATATTCCAGAATTAAGTTTAACAGTTTAGTGGAACAGTATACGTACAATATATGCTTTCGGGGTAATTTGGCAGATCTTGTCTTAACAATAGTCCTACGACAATAACGCTTATCGCACGATAAACAATATAATCTCTACATTTGACAAAGACACCCTAAATTTTCTCTCAACTATATCGATAAATTAAAACCCAAATTCATTGTAGCAAGCATCTTAATTTTACACTTTCGTAACGGTAATATAATGCAAAAATCAAAAAAATACAGTATTTGTAAGAGTATATAATTCACATAGATATTATAGTTGCACATGCTTGGACTAGAAAACGTATCGCTACACTGAAATTTATAAGGCTGCTGATGACCTACTGTAGAAGTAGCCAATAATAAAGTTGCAGACAAAATATTTTATTTAGTATAGATTCACATTGTCATTGTTTTCTCTCCGAACGCTCTCGGTTGCCCGCATGCTTTTGTAATAATAAGTATAGGAAGAAATCAGTCTTACGTATTCAAGTTACAGTTATTTAGTGTTCTAATATTTATTGTTTAAAGTATTTTGATAAACCAAGAAAAAAAAATTTTTTTTTAAAAAAAAAACCGGTATTTAATAATGGGATTGGGAATATATGATTTTATAAAGACAAGTTTATGTTTTAAAATTTTCAATTCCAGCTTATCGTTATGTTGGCGTTTTCTTTATTTGTCTAGACGTTACATTTTGTAACGGGTCAAATACGGGCTAGAGACATCTGAGCTAATGGATAAATGGACTAAAATGTACTAAGATAATTGGGTTGCGTGATGCTGGGACCCTGCAGCTTCTGCCTGACTTGGTCATTGTATCCCGGACTTACTCCTGACCAATTTTCGATACATGATCTAACTCATTTGTCTAACCAATTCTGAAACAAATTAGTTAGGCTGAATCATAAAACTATGATTGTAATCGGTCCAGTCCATTTTTAGTTTGGTTGCGTAAAGAACTTTTTTTTAATTAATAATAAACTGTTTATCAGTCATCATGCACTTGTATATATCGTTTTATTGAAGTTAACTCAATCGTAACTCATCTCTTTTCATTTTCAATTATTTCGCTTATTTAACTTTAAACCAAAGCTAGATGAATCATACTCCTTATTATAGTTTATCGTTCGTTATCAAGTTCAGCATTGTTATGATATTCATACAGCAGCTGCAACGTTATAAGACTATTAAGTATCATGTGTTTGTTGATGACCAAATAGCCTGATATGGTTCTAATACAACGTAATATTACGGAGCAGACTAAAAATTCTAAAAACTCTTATTCGTAGAACATCCGGAGAATCCCAAAATATTCATTTTGTGTAATGGGGAGTTCTCAGCTGAACTAGTCGAGTATTTGTTTTATTGAAATCACAGGTCTTTTGTAGACTTGATAATTTACAAAATTTTTATTCATAATTTTACAACTTTTGCATATAAATTTTACAAATTTTGCAAACGTTTAAAATTTGGTTCAAGCAATAACTGGAAAGAATAATTATGTAGCGAAACACTAACTACGTACGTATGCACCTAAATCGTAGGTTAAATTTTCTAGACAGGACCTTTTTGGTTAACACTAAATGACCCCATTTTTATCAGGGAATTACGGATGAAATAATTTAATTTTTAAAAACATATGACTTAACCACGTTGTCTTTTAACCAAGAAATGGCATTATCGACTTGGATAACTCGGTTCGCTCAAAAAAGTTATGGCTCAGCATGAGTTATGACTATTAGAGTTGGCTTGAGCCATAGTCTTTAGTCACGTCTCAGACTGTGGCTCAAGCCGTAGCTTAAGCTGAAACTATAAGCTGTGGTTTAAGCAATGATGAGATGGTACGGCTACATGTTGCGACTAAAACAAACAATAATCTTATTATTTAAAAATATTTTATTCAAGATTTCTTGACAAGCTTTTAATAACAAACTCGAACATATATGGTCCCTTAAAATGCAGAAAAAACAAACGATAGTCTCTCAAAAAGTCAAGTTTATTTGTATAGAACGATCGGTTGGATGTGTAAGGGTGAGTTCGGAAGAAAATTTTCAAGATATTGATTGTTTTAACCTCTAATTAAATACGTATATGTAATATATTTTTTTTATGCATATACGTATAATTAATATAAATTTAGGACAAGTTAAGATGCTATTCTTGGAAGTTCACTTAGCAAAAAACTTAATCAATCGTGATTGTGCTAAATTTTGGGTCTGACCAAATCGGCCCACATGGGTAATGCAAAGTTACGTATTCTTTTCATTTTAACCAATTAGAATTCATGAAAATTATTAAACCCGATTCTGTTTTTGACATGTTCTAAAATTATTAATTTTGCTAAAGTAAGAATAAAAAAATCTTTTAATTATTCGGAAATGGTATTCCTTGCAATAATATGATGAAATGAATGATTGTACGATACGTACGTATAGTGATGGGATTTTTGAGTTTTTAACTAATAATATTAATCCAAGAGGTCCCATCATTGCGTATGTACGTACGTACGTACATGAAAATTATTTCAAAAGGATTCATCCACAATAAAATGAGCTACTGTAATACCAGTAATACAAATGATATAGTCAGATTGGATCGGCATTTATCGACTAGGACATGATGTTCATTTTTCTTCCGATCCTTAATTCCCAAAATTAATTGTCTTTTAGATATTGTATTACTACACATACATTTTAGAACAAAGAAAATAGGCAGCTTCTAGAATCAGAAGCATTTTAAAGAGTTCTAGAATAAAATTAAGTGCTCATACGTCACCTAGAATAAAAAGTGTTCATACGTCACTTTTTAAAACTATAAAATGGGAATGAAATAGCGTTAGTGGGGCCTTATACAGACTCAATCGAGTTTGAAGCGTCTTAATTGCGCCATATTGCTTCACACTACAGTCAACTCTCGTTAAGCCAGACCTGAAAATACCGAACATTTAAAACCCTTTAAACCAATTTTTTAACCCGTCATTTTAAAAATCTTACATAAAAGCTCGAAAAGTTCGGTGTAGTAGATTTGACTGTACGGCGTATAAGGTATTTAAACAAGGTAATTATATTTTAAATTATATTTAATGCTATTTGTTATTTTGACTCCAACTTATATTACATTTTATTGTTACAATTCGTTCATTCAATAATTCAGGTCCCTAGGCCAATTTTACAACTTTACATTCTTTAAATTAGCAGCACTACTTTTTCATCAATAATCACTTTTTTAAAATGGCCAATCTTGCTGGACAAGTCGCAGGCAATCCCAATTTACACAACGCGGACCCTACTACCATTATACCTGAACTAGTTAATTCATGGGATCAACCAAACTACATAACTGGATCCGATGTCCTTAAATCCAGAGTCAAGCAAATTTGTAATGTTGTTCATAATGTTTTTGACTCCAAGATTATTCTCGAGATAGCTCGTCAAATTTGGACTGATTCCACTTCGCCTGAACAGCGAGATATGTATACTAACTTCGCATCTCGTGCAAACCAGCAAAAATTTGGATGTTCAGTTAGGGATCCTGGCATTTTGATCGAACCACCCACTGAGCCATTGATTTCCATTCCACCAACCAAACTTTCAGATTCGCTGTTGTATGGTGATGATATTCCTCAGCAATCTTTTGGTAATTAAGTGGTTAATATAAAGGATAGTAAACATTCAGCAGAACACTTCTTCATTATCCTACGCTAGACATATTTCTACTTATAGACGTATATCTATTTTAGAGTGGGATTGTCATTGAATATACATTAGATATCATTGTATACCTTCCTTATATTATTGAAATGAGAAATTACCTTTCTAAAATATGTTGTGGAATGAGAAATTATTCTTTCCAAAATATGTATATATTACAGAAAGAGACAATCTGGTTAAATTTGCAAATAGACGGTTACCTATAAACTAGGTGTACCAAAAATTAATTGTAATTAAATTTTATTACAATTACGTTTAATTAAAATTGTTATAAAAAAAAAAAAAAAATGTGACCAATTAAATTGTGAATAATTACAAATAATTGCAATTTTTTTTATAAACTTTGCTATGATAGAAAGCTTTAGACTTTTCTGTAAAACGTTCTATATATTTTGATGCATAGTAATTGTAGCTAGAAAAAAAAATCAATCACATTCAAATAAAGAACCACAGTAAATTGCCATTAACGGTAATCGTATACTATATCGATATTAATATGGGATCTTTGCTAGGAAAATTACCCTTCGAGATTTTCCGATCGGGCTAATTCGGAAAAATGAAGTATAAGATTTACATATGAAAATCGATATTCCGATCAGAAAAACTTAGACCGGAAAATCTTGAAGGGTGATTTTCCTAACAAGGATCCCACGTAATGTCAAAAAATTTTCAGGTAATGAGAGATCTGCAAGTTGCAGCACATATCGATCTATATGTTTTTTGAAAAAAAGACGGATGGGTTTCACTTCTAAGTTAACATTTGTATCTTACAATATAATTAGTATTCTTTATTATAATGAAAAATTTTGTTATTTTATATTTTTATACTATCTATGTTTTTTCCTTTTACGCCAAAAACTTTTGAAGTATCTTACTTTGAATTGGCGATTGATACTATCGACGAAATCAAACTCGAAATTTGATTGGTTGGCACTCGCGTTATTAACTACATAACTTAATGCTAACTTTTAATTATTCACATCTATCTATTTTATTGGATATAGA